GAAAGAGCAGGTGTAGAACTGCAATCCTCGTCTAAAATCTTGAAACATGTGTGTGCATTTCCCCTTCCCCAATGTTGATTTGGCCATTACAGTGGTCGCAGTGCTTCAAAATACGCGTGGCTCAACATTGGGGAGGGAGAGGGTACATTACAGTGAGAACAAAAGTGTGAGGAGTAAATCTCAAGAATTCTCTAGGAAATTTAAGAGACGCAGTGTCTGTTTCAACGATTTGTGACGAGTATTGTGGCTTCAGAGAGAACTGTTGAGTCTTCCACAAGCACTTGTTGGGTAATAAGTAATGGTTCTGCTGTTGATCTAACAGTTACCTCAGATAGTATGAATGTTCCATCTGCACATGGAAGCACATGGTTCATAAGTTTTGTTTGACTTATCCACCTGCACTGGCCTGTTATTTTACATTAGAAATCCTTTTCTTAATACGTGTTCCTAAGGTATTTAACAATGGAGTAAACATGAGGTACAGTCTGTTTGAGGCACAAAGTTTTTAAATAATCTACGCTATTTAGCTCGTTTCTCTCGTTTCGTTGTGGTTCATTGTCCTTTTCTGATGAGTGAATAAGCTGTTACAGATTGCTACTTTTTCTGTCATCTAAGCAGTGTTGATAAAACGGGCCTTATTCAAAAGCATTTCCTTGAATCTTACCTCTCTTTTTCCTTCTTTAAATTATAGTAGATGAATTACTGGATATTGGGTGCTGATTTTTTTGCATTGAACCTGGTTGAAGCCAAAGTCTATCCCTGGCATCTCCCCCTAGTTCACCATGTGGATATGCAGGGGTAATTTTTTCCGCTTTTGTTGCATCATTTGCCCATTTCCTTGTGGTGTTGTAGCAACATGCCAATACACATGGTTCGATATAGATTGTCGCCACTCATTGCCATCTTCACATTATTCAGTATGAAACAAGCAATGACCATGGGAAAGAGGTTAACTAGAGAGAGTGTTAAGCAAACTATTTTAGTTGTTGTGTGGATGTAACAGTTACCTCATGTAAACTATTTGGGTTGACTTTCTTAGCAGCATTACCTTAAGGTGCCATTTGTCGAATTAGTGTCAAATTTTTAGGCAAATTCCTTTGAATCCACTATGTAATTTGCTTGTGCCGGTCAGTGATGATATCCACTATTATTTTGGAGTATAATGTGGGAATAAGCAACAACATCTGGGCACGGACAGCTGACAAAGTTTTAGTTTGTCGATGCTGATAAGATATGAGAAACTTAAGAGAGTGTTTTACATTGCCCATATTGTATGGAATGCATGCTTAAAGAAAAGAATTCTATGAACATTATTGTATGTTTAGATAGGTGTGAGTAAAATGACAGACAAGAGTGCTATGCACTTTATATGCAGAAACACATCATTGCCCTACATGAGTCTTTTAACGGATATCTTCCATTCTTGTACCATGATCAGGCACAAACATCCCCCTCTCCAACATCTCCCTGAAAGACAAAGTATGATGTAAAGAATGTTGACACTAGCGCACTTTTAGTGACAAAATGTGGTGAGAACTTGTGCTACTGTTGCTGCTCATAATATATCAGCTGATGTCGTTCACATAAAATAACAAACCCAAAAAAGCTAGAAAAACAGATTCAGTCAAGCTGCACAGGCCTTCTCAAGTAGCTATTTTTCAATCAAAATCATTCTTATATTAGCCCTCTAAATTACCTTTCGACTTGCCTCACAGAATGTTGTTTTGTTGAGTACAAAAAGTTTTGTAGCCTCAGGGCTTTGAAGTGAGCTGTCATCTTCTCTTCAGGCAATGACTCGTCCACAATTTCCTCGGTGACTGAAAGAATTTGTCTTTCAGTGGCTTAACTATACATCACATCAAGTATGTGCCAGAAAGTAAGGTGACTTCCTGTTAGTAACCATTTTAGTACGACACTACAAATATTATACTTTACTGTTTGAAGCTCACCACGAAGATTGATATGTGAAGTGATGTACATCACAAGCCTTGCAATTTGCCAGATAATGTTTTAGCTTTTCCCAGTTTGTTTGACCAAGGTGCTCTTTATTAGTTTTCTTGGTGGTAGTCTTTCTTTCTCTTACAAAGGTGTTAAACAGCCTTGGACCACTTTGGATTTTTGTCTACTTTGAAGCGGCTTTTGTGTACCGCTTGGAATGAGTACTTTCTCCACCTCTGTTCGTGGTCAGATTTCATAGC